TTTTAAGATTTCAACAAATTAAAATCGTTGATTAATTTTTGAAATCTTCTTACGACGTTTCATTACACATGTGTTTATTTAACGACGTTGTCAGCAGCTCAGACCACTGCTCCGTAAATCTTTCCACCAGCCAAGTTTGTCATACACACGTGACACCACACCACAAAATTTCGCCTCTCGAAAAGGCTGGCACGAAACTATACATGGCGCCATATATACGAGTTAACACGGTCGTAGCACTGAGACACGAGCCAAGAAATCCTGTCTTATAAATCTTCAAGACTAAAATAGACAAAACTATGCCTGTTCTTGCTGTATTGTACGGGTGTAAAACTTGGTCTTTCTCATTTGGAGAAACGTTTTTGAGCACGGGATGCTGGAGAGGATATTTGAGCTATGGAGAGAATCTGAGGAAAACTGCGTAGCGGGAGCTTAATAATTTGTATTCTACGCCAGGTATTATCAGGAAGGATGAGATCGGCGAGCCATGTAGCATGTGTGAGGAATCCATGCAGTTTAATAAAGATCTTAAGTTAGTAGAGCAATTACATGATCTAGGTGTGGATGGGGAATGATATTAAAGCGGATTTAAAGAAATGAGGTGGGAGAATCTCATGAGATAACAGTCGTGGGCCCTTTTGAATACGGTAATGAACCTTTGGCTTCCATAAAAGGCGATGAGTTTAATTGTGGTTGGTATAGACGTAATTTACGTAATTTATTTTCATCTTTACATGAAGCTCAAACTGAAATGTTCCCATCTCTAAAGAAAACGTACACGAAGACGTTTAACACAAACAAAACGTAACATTCGTAGCTCCAGGTAGGTTAGTTAGTTAGTTAGTTAGTTAGTTATGTTTGTCATACTGTAAGGTACATGAAACATTTCGCACGTTCGCGCCATCTTGTGGAAACCTGATGATTTCATGACCCTTTGCGTCACCTCATAAGCTTGAGTGTCCGCCATGTTGGTATTAACTTGCTATAAAATTAGAAGTATAATATTAAGGTGGCGCCAAATTTTCTGAAAATCTGCCGATTAGTGTAGGTGTTTTGGATTGGTTATCCTAGCCTAGTTTGTGTCCGCATTAGAGGAACATCAGTACCGGAGAAGTAATTCGCAAAGAACGCGGTTTGAAGACACGTGCGAACTCCGCTGAAACACACATTGTTTCAGTCGCTGAAGATCTGCCGGCTTTGTCTAGAAGTGCTTATGGTGAACGCAAACACACGAGCAGTGCCGATGATGCGGTCATCTGGCACTTCCGATGATTTTCCCAGGCTTCACTTCCAGACTGAACATCCATATATCACATGCGCACTTAACTTGAAGTCTGCTGCTCCAGATTGCCTGAGGAGGAGCGCTAAATGTTACTCTTTTCTTTTTATTTCAATCTAACCCCGTGTTGTAATCAATTTTAACCTATTATCCGTCCGTAGAACCAAAAAAATCTCTTATGGGAACAACGTGTCAGCGTTTTAAACAACCGGAAGATTTTCACGAAATTTGGCTGAGATTCATTTCCCTGTCTAGCGCGGCATCGGATCATTAAAATTTCGTGCATTCACCTGTTCATACCGGCTGGTTGAAGCCACTTTATATCTCACTATTTTAAAACACACACTTTCTCATTTCTAGTTCTTAGCCATTGTCGACAACAACAATTTTGAATTTACAAAAAGGAAACAAAGACAACTTTTCACAAATTAATAATGCACTTAACCAAATATTTTATTCATCCATAATAATGTATGTAACGCCACGGCAACAAAGTTTTCCTCCGTGGCATCCCAACAATTACTCCATTCACACACAGAAGAAGGCAATGGCAAACCACTTCTGGATCATCTGCCAAGAACGTATATGAACAGGTCCCAATCCGAGAAAAGGATGGAAGGATC